GACCCTGGGACTCTAAAAAATCAGGCCCAGTTTCCATTCCCTTCCCTCAGCTCACAAACCCTACTATTTGATCTATCCAATGTATCTCTATCAAAGCTCAGCTTCTCAAATTATTTCCAACTCTTGTGCTCCTTCCTTCTTCCAGCTACAGATCTCATCTTTCTACAAGCAAATACTTTTCTCAACTACAGTACTAATATGGGGTAATATCAGGTGTAAGGAAGAAGAAGAAGAAGAGTTTGGATTTGATCTCCCGCTTTATCACTACCCGAAGGAGTCTCAAAGTGGCTAACATTCTCCTTTCCCTTCCTCCCCCACAACAAACACTCTGTGAGGTGAGTGGGGCTGAGAGACTTCAAAGAAGTGTGACTGGCCCAAGGTCACCCAGCAGCTGCATGTGGAGGAGCGGGGAATCGAACCCAGTTCCCCAGATTACAAGTATACCACTCTTAACCACTACACCACACTGGCTTTGGCCCTCCAGATGTTGCTGAACTACGACTCCCATCAGCCCCTGAAAACTTCCTCTCCATTCTTGATTTATACAGGCACCCTTGACACAATTCTGCCGCTAAAATCAGAACTGCTGGATAAGTGAGCAGCCCATACATTTCCCCAGAAGCTGTCATATTATCATAAAGTAGGAAGAGATTCAGTGACTGAAATAATTCAACGCCTGATGATGCAGGACATCCTAGCCTCTTATTTTTCTACACATGGATGAAAGGAGAGCGGTGCCAGCTTTTTCTCATTCCTACTTTAATGGGCATATATTGTTTCAGATCAATGGAGTCGCACAGAACAAACACCAAACATTCACAACACACCATATTTTTCTGCTTCTTTTTAGCAGCCCTAAAACAATGTTCCCATTAAGCTTCTTCCTCCAAGAAAAGATTCCACCAGTCAGTGGCCATTCCATCTGGCCATATATTTAAGTAATGTATCCGAATTTCTTTGTTTCACTTTCCTGGCTTCTGTCCCACCTTCCTTTTTCTGGTATTTCTGTTACACTGCAAATCATTCTGGAAACCACCTATCAGTTTTATGCTTTGCACAGCACCTACCAGAATGTTAAGTGCTAAATAATCTTATCAACCTGCAGAACTCTGTTGTTCCCTTGGGACTGCAATGTTCAAAGGATTCAAAATTAATTGATAAAGGGGGTTCACTGGCTGGCATTAGCTAAAACAGCCAGTGGGCAGGCATCAAGCTATTGGGGGAATTAACCTATTTACACTCTAGCCTCTGTTATATATTTCTCTAAAGCACCCACTGCTGACTGTTGTTAAAGACTGTCAAAGAGCTGTTAGACAATGCATCACGTGCCTGACCGAGACTGAAATTGTATACATTTACAATGAAATAAGTTCCATTAGAGTTCTACTTTTGAGTAAACATGCTTAACAGCGTAAGAAGAATTGAATATCTACTTTATGTCATCAAAAAAGTGACAGGTGCCCCAGCCCTTTACCCCCAGAAATCCCACCCCTTTCCCCAGATGTTACTCCTTTTAATACAAATGTTATATGACTTGATATAAATTTTAACACTAGTCCAGATGTCAAAGGTAATAATACATCAACATAGGGCCTTTCCTTAGCCCAGGTACAAGAGTACAACCCTGTCCCTATAATTTTTATTACATAAAATAGGTATTCTATTCTACTGTAAGAATATAATCATAAGAAGACTTACCGTAATTTTCGCCCTATAGGGCGCACCGGCCCATAGGGCGCACCTAGGTTTTTTTTTGGGGGGGGAATAAAGAAAAAAAATTATTTTCCCCCCCCGGCACGGGTAAAGGTAAAGGGACCCCTGACCATTAGGTCCAGTCATGGCCAACTCTGGGGTTGCGGTGCTCATCTCGCTTTATTGGCCGAGGGAGCCAGCTTCCGGGTCATGTGGCCAGCATGACTAAGCCGTTTCTGGCGAACCAGAGCAGCGCACGGAAATGCCATTTACCTTCCCGCCGGAGCGGTACCTATTTATCTACTTGCAGTCTGACGTGCTTTCGAACTGCTAGGTTGGCAGGAGCAGGGACTGAGCAATGGGAGCTCACCCCATCGTGGGGATTTGAACCACTGACCTTCTGATCAGCAAGCCCTAGGCTCTGTGGTTTAACCCACAGTGCCACCTGGCGAGTAAATCCCACCCACCACTGACATGTGACCCCCCTCAAAAGGCTGCCCAGAAGAGAATGTGGCTCTCAGACTGAAAAGGGTTCCCTGCCCTGAGGATGGATTAAAATAGAGTTTGGGGAAGATAATCTAATGGCACCTGAATGCAGTGGGAAAGTAGTTAGAGAAGACAGCTGATGATGTGGAAAGAAATAAGAAAAATGACAGGGGAAATATAAAGACTCGATTAAAGTTAGAATCACAGAGGTATGTTGAACAGTTAGATGAAGATGTCAAGATGGCCATCTCCTCAGTAAAGTATATGCATATGCAAGTAAACCCAATTGCAGTTCATAAAAATTTCCTCAAGATTCTCACACAGAATTTATAGCTGGGTACTATATCACAGCCACATAGATCTCAATGTATCATATCCAATTGCCCAGCCTTTATTCTTGGGACTTCTTTGTTCTTTTTATCTTTTTCCTGTTGCTCTTCCCCACCTTGTCCATTACAAATGGCAGTGTCCTCGATCCAGCCTGGAAGCAGCATTATTATTATTATTCCAGCTCTAACTCTGATTCACACACTAATCAATCCTGTGAGATCAGATGCTGTGTCAGAGTTTGCTGACTCACCCTCCCTCTACAGTTATCGATGACAGGGCACTGCCAACAACCCTTCATTACGATAATGTTCCTTGGTTCTCTTAGCAATAGTGGCTAAGTTCATCCCTGTACCATAGCCAGCTCCTTACCGATTGCTCATTTTAGATCATCATCTTTCCAGCCCATCATAAGGTAAACAGCAAAACATATTCTTTTTTCTTATGGTCTCTCCTATGTGCAGGCTTAATACGCATGGGAGAGAACATGTAAAAGCAGAATAACCTGGGATAGGTTTCTTTCATATACATGCCATACTTCCATTTTGAAGCTACTGTCCATATTCAACAAAACAGGACTCTATGGTCTATGAATGGCCAGATAAATTTTAATTTATAAATCAAAATGGCAACTATCTGAAGAAAAGGAGAACTGAAATAAAAGAATTACATGCCCAGGACATAGCTTGGATTGAGGAGAATGCTGCAGCACTGGCAATGAAAGGAACCTTTGTAAGACTCTCAAAAATAACTTTGTAGAAGTTACTACACATCTCACTATTCCAGTGTGCCATTCTTGTAATTTGCTTTCACACTGCTTAGCAGAAGTCAAATACGGTATCTTACCGACCAAGGAATCAAGAGGCATCTTACATTAGGAAAAACTGGAGACCCGCATTCAGAAGAATCAAATTGCAGACATAGGAAAACCGTACTTACATTATAAAAATAAGCATATATAAATTGCTGTGAGCAAAAAGCGTCTCAGTTGTGTGCATGAAAATATGTAGTAATCCTCCAGTAGGAAAGGGAATAGGGAAAATATATGCAGAAACATGTGGAGATTCTTGGGAAAAATAACCATGGAATGCATAAATGAATCACACAGCCCTATGTTAAAGTTGCACCCTGCTGTTTACTTTGCTGAAATAGTCTTCAGGATGTTTTTTTTATGCAGGCAGGGAGTCCAGAAGGAATAAGAATGCTAGAGCACCAGCTTTGTGGTGGAATGGTGGATGATCATAGAACTGTAGAGCGGGAAGGGATCCCAGGGGCCATCTAGTCCTACCTCCTGCAATGTGGGGATCTCTGCTAAAGCATCCATGACAGATGGCCATGACGGCGAAAGGCAGTGGCTAAGTGAGTTATAGAACAGCAGGGTAGGGCTGGGACAGGCCCCTGCCTGAAATCCCAAAGTGCTATTACCAGCCAGTGTAGACAATTCAGTGGTACCTCGGTTCTCGAACTTAATCTGTTCCGGAAGTCCGTTCGACTTCAGAAACTGTTCGAAAACCAAGGCATTGCTTCTGATTGGCTGCAGGAGCTTCCTGCACTCAAGCAGAAGCCGCGTCGGATGTTCAGCTTCCAAAAAACGTTCGAAAACCAGAACACTTAGTTCCGGGTTTTCAGTGTTTGGGAGCTAATTTGTTCGACAACTAAGCTGTTTGAGAACCAAGGTACCACTGTACTAAACCAGGTGGCCTCAATGGTCTGATTCAGTATGATGATGATGATGAAGAATATCCTGCCCATCTGGCTGGGTTTCCTCCAGCCACTCTGGGCAGCTTACAACATCTCCCTGTGTTCCTATGATAAAATGGGATACAGCCAAGGAGATGTTCACAGTGTTGTTTTCAGAGTAACTTGACCAACTTACCAGAGCTGCGTAACAGGCAGAAATTTGACAGGTGAAGCACCTCACCCACCCCACCCGCTTTCCCTTTTTTATATACCGTAAAAAAATTTTTTTACTTTTTTCTGTTTTACACTTTAGAATATCCCTTTAAACCACCTTAAAATGTCAACGGCTTCCCTTCTCTTTCCACAGTTCATTTTGCGTATCATAAATCCCAGCACATTTTACCTAAACTAAACCATTCAGTATTCCATTATTGCTTCCAACAACAAAACTTGTTTACACTGCTGAATTTGTTATAATGCTGCCAACGTTTTCAAGTGTACACAATTTTCACCCCACCCACTTTTCCACTTTCAGCTGCAACTGAGTATGATCTCACTGTATACAAGTTGTACAAGTGACAATGAAGTATTTCAATTCAATCTGTTGTACCTCTGCCTATATTAAAAACGCAAAACTTCAAAGGGCGTGGCGAGATGGCGGGAGGGAGATGGTAACTATATCTCGCAGGGTTATTTATACCTATTTTCGAAATCTTGCTCCTCCAGTGACGGGAAGGGGCGGGGGGAGAGAGAGAGAGCGCGCGCGCGCTTGGCGAGTCATGTGACCACGGCTGGAGTCATATGACGAGGAAGAGGAGCGAAGAGAACTCTCTCCCCGTGTGGCTTCTTCGCAGCCATGCTCTCCCGCTTGCTGAGGGAGCACCAGGCGAAGCAGGCCGAGAGGAAAGAGCTGCAAGGTGAGCGCGGCCTAGCGCCCCTTCCGAAGCCTCCGGGCTCGCGTAGCAGCTCGGCTGCTTCGGACGCAAAAAACCAAAACACCGCGGGGCCCCGGGCGCGCGGGCCTTGCTCCGAGCGTCGCCTTGGCAACCGCCCACCGCCAATGAAAACGCCCTTGCGGCAGCTGTGGGTTGTCGCTATTGGCCCAGAGGGCTGTCATTGGGGAGAAAAGGGGAGGGGAGGAGGAGTGCGTACCTGCCGGCCGTCAGGAGCCGAACGAACGGGAGTTTCCGGCGCCTCTGCTTTACTCTCTTGTGTACGTTTGAGCTCAGCTGTGAATAGGAATGTTACGCACTTTACCTACGGCATTTCGGGCCTCCGGGTTCCCTTACCCCCCCACATTTCTCCGATGTAATAGGGACTTTCTATATTATTATTATTATTATTATTGTTATTATTATTTACTATTGATACCCCACCCATCTGACTGGGTTGCCCCAGCCACTCTTGGCGGCTTCCAACATATATTAAAACATAATAAAACATTTAACTCCCCCTTCAAATGGCTCAGAGATCAGATAACTTCATACCCTCCAACATTTATCCAATGTAATAGGGACGTTCAATGATGATGATTTACTATTTATGCCCCACTCATCTGACTGGGTTGCCCCAGCCATTCTGGGCAGCTTCTAGCATATATTGAAACATAATAAAACATTAAAAACTTGCCCATACAGGGCTGCCTTCAAATGGCTCGGGGTTCAGATAACTCCATACTCTCCCAACTTTTCCCTGCTGAAAATAGGGACGTCCTAAGGGAAAGCAGAACTTTCCGGGATTAAACCAGAAACAGATACTGTTCCTGGAAAATAGGGACACTTGGAGGGTTTTGGGTTCCCGCTGTTTACTTTTAGAAATTGAGGGTCGCGTTGAGCTCAGCAGCAATGAAAGCCAGGAAATGGCGAGTTATGGAGCAAGGTTTGGTGGGGAACATGTGGCTTCCTAGATGCTGAGGGAAGCATTTTGGATTGCCTAGGCCCAAAAAAGTGTTTTTCCACTTGGGCATCTGTTCACGTTGGCGCTCTGCCACTTTATCTGTTGGGTGGCTTGTTGCTGTTGGACCACAACTTCCATCACCCACTGGCAGCTTAGCTAATGCTCGGGGCTGATGGGCGTTGTAGTCCAACAACAACTGTAGACCAACCCGAGGTTGAAGAGCACTGCCAGACTCATTTTTTTAAAAGGCTACTGCTGATTATTCTGCCTCAGTGTCCCCCTTCCAGCACACTGTCAAATTAGTAGGAAGGATATGGATGCACAAATATAAGTTCGTGCTCACATTTAAGGCTCGTCCACACTCCTGTGTTTCGTCTGCTTAGAAAGCACAGGCCAGATCAGTTTGCCGCTTGCCACACTCCTTTCCCAGGGAAAATCTTCTCTTAAGCTTTAAATCTGAACAAATTGTTTGCTCCAATTGAGTGCTAAATAGTGAGTTGTGGGGGGCACAGTGGAGATGTTGAAACGCCCTCAGTGTTTGCTTAGGGGAGTGGAGATGAAAATACCAAACTTGGAAGAAAAGGCAGCAGCACATGCATTATGTGGACAAAGAGTGCTAGCGTTGATGCATCTTCGATTTGTGCCCCTCCCGCAAAACGTATAGACATTTTGAGATGACACTAAAGAGGCCTCTGCTTCCCCTCTCTCTAGAACGGCGGAGGCGAGAGGCCATCGCTGCAGCCACTTGCTTAACCGAAGCCCTGGTTGACCACTTGAATGTTGGGTAAGCGGTACTGAGTAATGATGACTCCTACAAATCTTTGGTTAATAGTACCACATACGTGGATGTTACCATCTCGGCATGTGAGCTGTTTTCCACCTTTAGGCTGCTAAATTGCGCCCTAACAAGGAAATGTCAACTGAGGACCTGCATAGTAGTGGGGGACAGTCATGACTCAGTAGAGGTTCCAGCCGGTGCAGAATGCAGCAGCTGGACTGCGGACAGCAATAAATGGCTCACGGCTTGTGATACCTTTGCTAAAACATCTGCACTGGCTGTTCGTATCCTACCTGGTCATGTTCAAGGTTCTTGTGTTTATATGCAAAGCCCTGAAAAACGTGGGTCCAGGATACCTTAAGGATCTCCTGAGCCCAGCTCAATTGCAGATGATGGTACACCTTCTATTGAATTCATAGCTTTCAAAAAAGAGTGATGCAGGCCCCATCCATAGGCTATTAGTTTCCCCCCATGTTGAACACCTAACTGGCCTGCCCTAGGAGTTGGGCATTTCATGTTGCCAGCCCCATATTGTGGAACACTCCTCCAGCCCAGATTCTAGCTAGCATCCTCATTTTTTTACTTTCAGGCATCTCTTGAAGACTTTTTAATGCTGGCAGGCCATGTCTTGTGGCAGTGAATTTCATAGTTTAACTAGATGTCATGTGAAGAACTACTTCCTTTGATCTATCCTGAAACTCCCCATCACTCAACTTCATCAGATGACTCCTGGTTCTAGTATTACAAGGCAGGAAGAAAACCTCTATTTGCTCTCCACAGCATGAATAATTGCATAAAACTCTCACATCCCTCCATAGTCACCTTTCCCCACTCCTAAAGAGGTCCCAAACATTTTATCCTTTCCTTGTAGGGAAGTTGCTGCAGTCCTCAGGTCCCTTTGGCTGCCATTTTCTGTACTTTTTCAGTTCTATAATATCCTTCTTGAGTACATCAGCCAGATCTGTACACAACATTCCAAGTGTGGTTGCATCATAAAATTGTATAATGGCATTTCAATATTGGCAGTTTTATTTTTTCTTTCATAACGATCATACATCATCTTGGTACACTTCTTTAAGTTGCTTAGAGCTGAATATTGAAGACTGGGCTAGAGAGTTCCTGTGTCTGCTGAAGTAGCTTTCCAGTTCCTTTAATTTTTGCCTTAGCTGATACCTCCATATTGCTCAGCAAAGCAATTTGCCTTAGCCTGAGAAAGTTTGATACGATTGGGAGAATATTAGCTTTACAAACCTAAGTTTCTAGCCTGCGGAGTTGACTGTAAAGGTTTTGGAAGAGTGACTTAAGATCCACAATGCAGAAGGAATAATTGCCAGGAATAATGGCTGAAAAACACCCTAAGGCAAGAGCTTTTTACGTCAGCAAAGTATAACATGCTAATTAGAAGGGCATTCTTTCTTAATTTTGGTCAGCTAAGCTCTTTGTGGTCCATGTTGCGTTTTAAAGTTGTTCTCCCCTATTAAATTAAACAATATTCATAAACAGTGGACAGAAGGGCCACTAACCCTATGCCTTATCCAAGCTGCAGACCTGCCTCTCACTGCCATGAAAAGTGGAAGTTGCTGCATTTCTATAGCATGACCTATTATCCCCTTGACAAGTGGTGTCCAGTCTCTGCTGTTGGCGCCATCCAGCTCTGTGGTTAGCTGATGAGAAGTCTCTGCTGCTTCATTCTTCTGGCCCACACTTCCCTAGGGGTTTTTGGCAGCATTGCTAAGTCTGTATTGATTGTTTAGAATGGGAGAGACCACATGGCTACCCTTGCTTTGCCCTTTCCCAAGGATATTGCCACACAGTGTAGATTGGAGGGGAACACAGAAATCAACGTCTATTAAGTAGTAGTAACGTACGTGTTAAACAAATCTGAAATAAGCTTTCAGGCGTCACTACTTCTGCACAGAAAGCATGCCTCCTGTTCACCTTCCTGCTTCTTGCCTGCTATTTTAAAGCAGGGATTACTTCACTGTTCCCAAACACTTGCTGTATTTAGCTGCCCTGGGAGAGTTACTTGGATTCCAGCTGCATGACTTCCAGGGCTGGTGGGATAGTGGGGAAACAACATCTCTGCTTTGACCAATCAAGCTTCTTGAGTCTGTCACTGTTCAGATGCTAGAAGGCAATGTGAGGTTAAAACCCAACACTGCCATTTTCATTGTCACCTTTCAAAATGCATGCGGACAAGACCATTTGTTATGGTATCCTGATCTTTGCCCCCTCACAGATAACCAGCTGTGGTCACTCTAGAGATGTTGGTGATGGGACATTTCCCCCCAGGCTTTTGATGGGCTAAGGTGATGTTTTTGCAGTTACTGTACTGCCCCCTCCCTTCTATTGGCAACCTTTGCTTGATTTTCAGCTTTGAGGAGTAATTCCCTTCATTATACAGTAATTTTGAAAGCTTGGCCATAATAGGGGCTGCTATTTGTATGTGGGCTTGATAGAATGCAGAATTAAAGGCGCCCAGCCTCACGACATGCGTACATAACCTCCTGAGCTGTAATTGTTTGCGTAATCCTTTCTTCGAAATTCAATCTAGGAAATTTCCATTGATATAAAAATATTTTCCATTATTTTTCATACTCAACTACATTGTGTTTATACAGTAAATTGTAGTTTGAAGAAATATAGTTCTCCATGCTCTGTGCTTATTAAAGATGGAATGGTGCATTTCTGTTGTTCTTTTGTCAGTTGCCATGCTAAAAACATTCCTCGCTTGGTAGCTTTTTCAAAACATCTCTTGTTTTAAGGATTTTTCTGCCCTGTATATGTACATGAATCCAGCTCTTCCAAGTTAGGGTTCATTCTCCATCGTATGACCAGATTTCTGCCTGGTTTCCAATAAAGTGGTACCTCGGGTTACATACACTTCATGTTACATACGCTTCAGATTACAGACTCCGCTAACTCAGAAATATTACCTCAGGTTAAGAACTTTGCTTCAGGATGAGAACAGAAATCATGCTCTGGCAGCGGGAGGCCCCATTAGCTAAATTGGTGCTTCAGGTTAAGAACAGTTTCAGGTTAAGAACGGACCTCCGGAACGAATTAAGTACTTAACCTGAGGTACCACTGTACTGTGATGAAAACAGCAAGCTTCTCCCTCCTCTTGTCATTTCTAGCTGCTAAAATACTAAAATGGTCCTCTTTAAAAACATCCCACAATACTAAACCTGTATTGTCCTTAATTTATAATACATTATATCCTTAATTTTTGGTGGGTCAAGTCTTCTTAACTGTCACTCCAGCTTTTCATGTAATGACTTAATTTTCTTCCATCTAAGAAATAATATAATTCCCATCTCTGTGGAAAATATTTTTTTCAAAGGGATATCAGGCGAGAAAAAACTCATAATTGATTCTCAAATGTGATTAATGTATCTGCATTGGAAAGGAGAGGGGGGACCTCCAAGCATCCTAGACTGGCCGACTTGTGCTGACCTTTGTTGATCTTCTATTAGCATTAGACCAATACTCTTGCTGACCTCATGTCTTCACTTCCTTTCTCCCATCTTTCTGCCTCCCTCACGAGAGCAGACATACTTGGAACTCTCTTTTGAGATGCAAGAACAAGCATAGCTTATTGCATCTCCACATGTATTTCCAACTATAAATATTAGCTTACTTATTTTCGGAAAGCCAGAGTGTCTTGGTGTGATTGTATCCAGAGTAAAGTCTGCTCCTCAAATGGGGATTCTGTTTCAGTCCACCTTTTGCCAGCGTTTAACTCCAGATGCTAAGATGCAGCTTGTGGAGTTGACCACTGCCACTCCAGCAGGAGCATCACACAAATAGAATTCTGCTCATACAAGCTCTAGATCCAGGCAAATGTGTTCAGCCCTGCTGCCCTATCCTGATTGAAGCACGGACACATACAAGAATCTAAATACTCTTTTAACTATCACTTACCTTTCCTTACCGGGTTTATTTAGAGCATTTGTACCCCTCTCTTCAGCCAAAAGGGCTCCCAGAGCAGCTTACATACAACCAATTAAAACAAGCCAGCCCCTGCTCACAAGCTTACAATCTAATCTTCAAACACTTCCTTCAATTCCCCCAAAAGTATTTAATATAATTAACACACTTTATTACACGCACAAAATATTTCCTCACTATAGAGCTTAGTAACAAGATGCAAATCTTGTTGAATAACAGGAGACTTTTGTAAACGTGTTTGACCAGGTGAGTTAGACGGTTCGCATTTGTAAGTTGAAAATGTGTGCAATGAAGTGTTTAATGACAAGCCTCTCACTAGGACAATACCAACAAACGTTGGTCCCTATTTTTGACAGATTCACTACTTGCACAAGAATCATTGCTGTCCCATATGCCAGATTTAACCCAGCTCTTCTGCCAAATATATGTGCCATTGTGTCAATTCCACCAAATATATACAGTTGAGTAAGAAAAGAAAACACATGAACTTAATTCAGAAGTTTCCCCCCCCCCCAGAAAATATATCCCCTTACAAAATACAAAAAGAATTAGTTCACTGAAGAACATTTTTAAACGATTTAACAAGGACTATTAAAAGACTTCATTAATTGCCTAAGTTCATTAAAGACAGGAACTTAGTGGATTACAACAGTTCATTGAAGGCTAGAGAAGTATTCTCAAAAGAATACCTCAGATTAAGCAGCAGAATCTCAAATAAGCGCCTATTTGATTAAAGAAGGGACTGGATCAGAACATAGTAAATAATTCATTAAAACTACTGAAACTTAAGTGAACCACTTCATTAGGCAGGAATAAATGAGAACAATATTTCATGAAGGGATGTTAAAGACTTACTCAGAGAATGGTGTAGATGAAATTCCTGTCAAACACTAAATGCATTAACAGGGGTATATTTAATTCATATAAGCCAATTTAGGTGGGTGTTTTCTACGACATGAACAAATAATGCATCATTCAGGAACCTGTATCATCCAACTAAGGCAGGTGTGGGGGGCATTTTTTGTTCCATAGGCCAGATCCTTATTAGGATCAGCCTCATGGGTCCGAACTTGACAGTTGGGCGGGGCTGCCCATCTGTCAGTCACATGACACTATTATTGATAGTCACATGATTGACAGCCGGGTTATCCTGCCCATCTGTCAAAATCCCTCGCGTGGGATTCCCAAGCACCCGACAGCCACTGACCATAGGGCTGGCGAAGTGCTTCCTTCTCTCCCCTGGGAAAGACAGTACAGTAATAGCCCAGCACCTGGCATCGTAAACAGCATACGGGTGGATGAGTCAAAACCACAGCGTTCTTCGCTCTCTTATGTAGTCGGTTTACTTATTAAGCCAGTCAGGGTATAAAACCGTTTCATCTGCTTCACTTGGATATCTCAAGTTACCTTGTTAAAGTTGTCATAAAACAGTATGTAATCAGGACAGGCAAACTTGCCCTCCCAGTTTCCGTTCCAAGGGTGATATTTATATGGCAGAAGAGAGCTCCAACAGCTCTTCTAGCTCCCCAAAGGTGGGCTTATTTGTCTGCCTTTCCACAGTGACATGGCGCTCCACTTTCTTTTACCTCTTACCAAGCAAGAGACATTCATTTTCAAGACAGGTGCTGGCTGGACACAGCGACTTGCATCTTGCTGGTCCTGTGGAGCAAGGTCCTCCCATTTCTTCCTGCTGTTAACCACAATGCACCCTGTGTATGAATTTTGGAGAATGCAAAATCAAATTGGCATTGATAAAACCAAATAGAGGACTGCACTTGTGACTTATGACAAACCTAGATAGCATTTTAAAAAGCAGAGACATCACCTTGCCAACAAAGGTCTGTATAGTTAAAGCTATGGTTTTCCCAGTAGTGTTTATGGAAGTGAGAGCTGGACCATCAAGAAGGCTGATCGCCAAAGAATTGATGCTTTTGAATTATGGTGCTGGAGGGGACTCTTGAGAGTCCCATGGACTGCAAGAAGATCAAACCTCTCCATTCTTAAGGAAATCAGCCCTGAGTGCTCATTGGAAGGACAGATCCTGAAGCTGAGGCTCCAATACTTTGGCCACCTCATGAGAAGAGAAGACTCCCTGGAAAAGACCCTGATGTTGGGAAAGATGGAGGGCACAAGGAGAAGGGGACGACAGAGGAGGAGATGGTTGGACAGTGTTCTCGAAGCTACCAGCATGAGTTTGACCAAACTGCGGGAGGCAGTGGAAGACAGGAGTGCCTGGCGTGCTCTGGTCCATGGGGTCACGAAGAGTCGGACACGACTAAACGACTAAACAACAACAACTTGTGACTTCCCGATCCCATTCCAGTCGCTTATGGCAAAAATGACTTCTGCTGCTCCAACAGAGGCCTGGGTTTTATGCCCACTTTTGGCAAGAAATCAATTTCTCTTGGCTTGTAACTGGAATGGGGCAGGATGAGGGGTGTTGGCACTCCAGTGTTCTGTTTTTAACTAGATGTATTACTCATCCATCTATTTCCCCACCCCACATATGGCTATTAGAGTATACAAAATAGTTCAGGTAGTGCCTCATGAGCCAGTAATTTTAAAAAAAAAAAAGTTTGGATGTCAAACTTACAAGTTGCATAGAACCATTCCTCAGGCTGTAAAATCTGTATTGTTTTCTGATAGCGTTCTGGAAGCATGGAAGCTTGCCACCCTGAAACGCACGCGATCGACCCAATTGAATCTGAATTTCTTTAGATCCCGTTATCTCTTCCTATAACAGCAGCGCAGCAACATCTATCTTGAAACTACCATGGCTGCCCGCAGTCTCCCCACTCTGGCCACACCCTTACTGTTTTGTGGGGGTAACTGACCTGCCCTTCCCTGTTACCCACCCTTGTTTGGGCGATTTATTCTTCTCCCTTGGTGAGGAAAATCACTCGCATGCCTTATCATTGCCCAGCCCTTCACCTGCCTTTGCCTCGGCCATGATAGGTTCCAGATGTTCCCAGTGCTGCATAATGATTGCCAGATGTTGCTGAGCCATTAAATCCTCTACAGCTTGGGAACTTACCCAGCTGCAGACTCCCAGCGCCTGCCTCTGCCCCTGGGGTTAGCTCGCTCCGAGCTGGGAAGCCACTCGGAATGGCGGAGAGCCGAGCAGAAAACGCAGCGATGGAGGGATTGGCAAAAAGAAATATCCTCTGTTTCTCTCCCCTACTTGTCTTAATTAATCGCTGAGCCTCTCTCTCTCTCTCTCCCACTCTAGGGTGGCGCAGGCCTATGTGAACCAAAGGAAGCTCGACCACGAAGTGAAGACATTGCAGATCCAGGCTGCCCAGTTTGCCAAACAGACCGGCCAGTGGATCAGCATGGTGGAAAACTTCAATCAGGCTCTGAAGGTCGGTGGGATAGCTGCTCCTACGGGAGAGGCACATATCTTGCACAGTAACCTCAAGATTAGCCTAAAAGTTACAACAGGACTCGATGGGTGATGGGAGGTGAGGTTTGGGGATGGGGAAGCATGGCTGGGTTTGCGCAGAAAACAAGGGAGAGAAAGGGGCTCGTGGGCAATAAGGGAGAATGGATTGGTTGCAGGCTTTGGTGTGTGCCAGAACAATTGAAGTAATAACAAATTAGCCCTTGAGTATTGCGGCTTGCTGAGTAGTCGCAGTTTGTCCCTGACATCTGAGGCAGTAGGTGATCATAGAATCACAGTTGGAAGGGACCCTGGGGGTCATCTGGTCCAGTCCCCTGCGATGCAGGAATCTCAAATAGATGGCTCAGTTGGTTAGAGTGTGGTGCTGATAATTGCCAATGCTGCAGTTTCAATCCCCATATAGGACAAATGCATTCCTGCATTTCAGGTGCTTTTCCCAACCTTGTGCCTCCAGCTGTTTTTGGACTACAATTCCCATCATCCCTTGCCACTGGTCTTGCTAGTCAGGGATGATGGGAGTTGTAGTTCAAAAACAGCTGGAGGCACAAGGTTGGGAAACACTGGACTAGATGATCCTCAGGGTCCCTTCCAACTCGACAATGCTATGTTTCTGAAGCCTCCATGACAGGTGGCCATCCAGCCTCTGCTTAAAAACCTCCAAGGAAGGAGAGTCCACCACTTTCCATGGGAGTCCATTCCTCTTGCTGTCAGAAAGTTATTCCTGATTGTCTGAGAGGGATGCCGCAGTGTATTGAGCCTATACCTGCGAGGGAGAACATGAAAGGATGCATGGGGAAGCAGAGAATGAGAAAACACCTGGTTGGAATTAAGGAGGTTGAGACACGTTAGGGAAACCCAAGAGCCTGCATATTCCAACTCACAGCTTTTGTGCCGAAACAATATAGACTCCCTGATTATAGGATTCTAGTCACGGAGCACACTTTGTGCTGCTTCCAGTTGTAGGTGCTCCTGACAATAATCAGTTGGAGAGCTCCACCTGCTGGGCATGGGGCTGCCCATGTTATTAACTCGGCAAGAGAGACAAAATAATCAGAATATGTTAGCCCCCAAAATGGTATGTATATGTGAAATTTATATCTATACAGTTTTCCACCCTAAATGTTGCATGGAGAAATTTATTTAAAGCTGCTCACCCGAAATCTCCCTGCCCTAACTGGGTGTCTGGGAGTAAGATTGAGGCGGATGGAGAAACAGGGTGCATGCCGTTTGAGACGCAAAGAGATGAGTGTTTTGACCGTGACTTCTTCTTTCCGGCAGGAGATTGGCGATGTGGAAAACTGGGCACGTAGCATTGAGATGGACATGCGGACCATTGCCACGGCCCTAGAGTACGTTTACAAAGGGCAGCTGCAGCCATCCACCTCCTGAAATGGACACCTTTCCTCCTCGGACCCCCTTCCCTCGCTCCATGCAGCCATCAGCGTGGGGGCACAAGTAAAGAAATGGCAAATCCCTTGTCTGCCAGCCCTTATTAAATGGTCAGCGGCTGCCTTTTTGCAGCAGCGGGCAAGATCTGCCCTTGCCCCCGCCCAGCGACTGAAAGGCACGTTGGCCTGTGTGTGTCACTGCTGAATGAGAGGTAGTGGTATCTTGCGCTGGGGAATTAAAAACAAACCAGTATTGATTCAGGAGAAACACAGCATGCACACAATGAAAGCTGGAGAAGGGGTTGTGCAGACCAGCTTTTACCTCTCGCTAGAAAGAACGGAATAAAAACGAATGGTTTAAACACATGGTGAGTGTTGGCATGTATCACTAAGGGGAGCTCAGCGTGTGTCCTGGCTGCATCTGCTGCCCAGGCCTATCTTGGAGAGGAGAAGCAAAGATGGTATCCCGACTCCCCTTATCCAAACAGGCAACCTCACAGAGACTTGAGTACTTCAGTGTAGGCTTGGCTCAGTGCCCGATATGTCTCCCAGCCTGGCCTCCTCATCCTCTTTAGTTTTTAAATCCTTCTCTGAAGGCTTTTCATGCCTTAACAAAGGAACCGTTCTCCAGCTAGTTTTGTCCTAATCTACTGTGATTCAACATGCAGTGCCTGCTTGTTAGGGGGCGGTGTGTGTGTGTAATGGAATGAGAAGAGGGTTAAACCCCCCAAGTTCCAGCCTCCCTTCCCTTCCCCCTCCCCACTAGCCAACCTTGCCGCACAGGAGACAGAATCTTCTATAAAAGACCAAGGAAAGCAAAGTCCTTGACATCTCATACCCCTCCTAATTTTTCTGTGAGATGCCTTACTATTCAGTCTCTTCAATCCCACTGACCTCTTAAAAGTAGATTTCATAACTGTAGTGATGGGAGCTCTTGAATCAACAATGCCTTTTCATTACGTTCCTTCCAAGCAAGTCCACTGATCACAAGACTTGGGGCAGAGCTTAGGCATGGGATCCTAGCTTCCAATGCACTCCTTTATCCTGCACGCTTGGATACTTTCAATGGCAGGTTCCCCCTTGGACTTAGGAGGTTCTGTCCCACTTTAAAGCAGAGAAGTGGCAGTATCCGACATTTCTTCCAAGTTGCTTAGGATTCCCAGCTGAAGGATGTCCACACATGGAAGCAGCCTTCATGTGAGCCTCACTTTGGTGGAGCGGGAGATGCTTAATGCTCATCACTACACTGCTTTCCACACTGCATGCTTGGATGTTGGTGGTGTTTTTTTGTTTTCAGTCAGCCCTCCTGCCATATTTACACCCCCACCACATATGAACATAATTCCCTGTTTCCTGGCATCCCCTCCAACATAACACCGATATTCCTTGTTTATTTGATTTAATCTGACTGGTGTTAAATCCCACCTCCAAATTAATTTATAATAATTTTCTTTTATTCTTATAGACAACATTTTCAGTGTAAGATTCTCCCATATTTCCCCCCAGCTTTGACTATCTATCTGCCCTGTTGTCTCCTTTTCCCACACCTCTTTTAATTTGTCTTCTTGATTCTCCATTTCTACTAATATTTTATAAATTTCACAGGTAGACAGCCCTCCTGCCAAACAATACCATAAAATGCAACTCATAGCTCGTTCACAAAATGGCAGTGGACAGGGACTACCTAGCCATCTCCAGTCCAAAGGCCACACAGAACATAACAGGCTATATTCAGCCAGGGCCCATTGAAATTAATGAACCTAAGTTAGACACGGCTGCTGACTTCAGCAGTTCTACTCTTGAGTAACAATTGTATTGATTACCACCCTATGTTTTCTTAAAAACTGAAGTCCAAAAGAGAACAAGTGGGGGCATGCAAACTTATCTCAGTCCCATAAACAAGGCGACTATGACTTACCACTGAGTGTGCCACAGATGCAGCAGATCTTGAGATGCTGTCCGCAATGGGTGCAGCGTGGTGGACACTTGAACTTCCCTAAGGAAAGGTGGGATACAAAATACTTTAAATAAACTTCAGATGTACATCTGATTTACCCTAACGTGATTAAACTATGGAAGGATTTTTCAGTACCAGCTCTCCTCTTGCCACACCCTCCGGTTGTTTTCCCTTCTCAAGAGTATGTTTTATGTTGTGCATTGCCTCGGGCAGCTTTTAAGAAGAAGGGTGGTTATCACATAAATAAAATTGTTTTTAACAAATGGTCTTGTTCCACCCCGAGCATGGTCCGTGAGGACGGGTTTCAAGGAAATGCAACTCTTGTATCCTTGTATCAGCTTCTTCATCATAGCCCAGCCCTTTAAGTCTAAGATTTCTCCGATTCCTCAGTACACAGCTCCTGAGAGATTTTACTGGAATTCAGCTGAGTGGAGGTTAACCGGGCAGATTGCTTTGCAGCTGCATCAAGGGTTAATGCTGGGGCTGTGTCCCTGCCCCTTAGCGTCCACCGGGAAGCTGATTGGCGAAGGCTCTGGCTTCTTGCCCTCCTGGACTTTGGCTAGGAGCAGAACTCTTGTCCGCTCTGTGCAGCAGAAGCCAAGCAGGGTAAAGAGTCCTAGACCCAGCAGAGACTAGCTGCTGCTTCTGCTGCTGGAGTCTGCAAAGTTTATCAACAGCTGCATCTGGTGAGAAGGTAAGGAGGACAATGGGTGGGCGGGCTGGTATTGCACTCCACCTAAGTCCCAGGAACTTAACGGAACAAACCTGAACCATCTTCCTCTTCATGGCTGCAACCCTGTGAATGGCAAGGTGTGCCGCTGATCAGTCCATCTTGCAGCTGAGGAAGCTGGGAGGGGGGTGTCTAACGGGAAGAGCTGAAATCCGAGTGTGGTCTTGACACCTGAATAAATTTACTGTCTGCTTCAGCGCAAGTAGCAGCTGCTCTCTTCTTGAGGGAGCTGAAGTCACACGTGCAAGACGGGAGTGGAGTTAGGAATTCAGGCTCCTAAGCTCCAACTCTGGAAGAGAAGACCCAGTTCCGGAATGTCTTAAAAGCTTGCTCTTTGAAATCTTGAGTTCTGTGTTGGCTTCAGCCACTGTGGCTGTGCCAATGCACAGGTGCCCATCTCCTCTGCATCTGGTGGGCTCTCACCACTGGGTTTGAGAAGTGGTATACACACGGCATTAGCTGCATTACACATCTATGCTGCTGTTTGTTCTGAAATAATTGTGGTTTGATGCATCTACCGCCAAACTAGCTTTGATCCAAATTGAGGGAGAGAAAGATCAGCCTAGCTGCATTTTAAGCCAGTAACATGTACAAGCCTCTCTGCCTTTAACTGGACCCGAGATCTTTCACCCTGAGCCCGATTTGTACAATTTTCTTCCTCCCCTGGGGATGTCTTCACACTTGCCTTGGAACGAAGAGCCACTGGCATCCAAGTTCCGCATCCTTTCTCTTTGAAATGGTGTCGGATCACAACCCAAGGTTTATGCAGAAGACCTGGGTGGGTGTAGATGGGGCACCATAAAGTGACTGCAGAGGGTCTCTTGAGAGGGGGTGGGAATGTTTTTTGTAAATATTTGGCCTGGTCTACACATGCAGTAGAAAGAGGTGGCAGAACTCTGTGGCAATAGAGTGATATGTACAGCCCACGGGTGTGAGAGAGCATTTGTGATCACCTTTCATGTCCTAACAATACCCAAAGGGCCAGAGGATTTTCTATCCCTGCCCTAAAATTTAGTTATACTGTAGTATCTACTAAAGAACAGTAGCCTAGCCAGTTCTGCATCTCTAGACATAATCACCTTTGACCCTCTGCTTTGCGAAAAGAGTGTGACCTCTGCTCTGTACCAGGTGAAGTAAAGGTATAAGGTAAAGGACCCCTGGATGGTTAAGTCCAGTCAAAGCTACTAAGCCTACCAGGTAAATCATACATGAGACTTAAATTCATGCTGGAAAAATAAAGACCAATAAGCATTACTATCATTTGCCACAACTGCTAGCACAAAGGGAAGAAATCTTAACTCACCATCCCTTATTTGGCCTGTCTGAGTGAATAGCAGACAGATGCTTATGAATTGTTTTTGAGCACACGAGTCCTCCCCTGACCTTTATGTGCTAGATGAAAATATAGAGCTGCATCATATGGTATGTAATGCGGGCCTCACGGTCCTTGACCCTGAATGGGACCATGCCACTTACAAAACTGGGTTATGAAAGCTCCCCTGATCCTTGCATTCTGGATCAAGGGGGAAATCCTCTAGTACCCAGCCACTGGAGTCTCAAATGTATGGACTGAGCTTCCGTGTGAGAGAAAGTCAGGCATTGAATTCCCCAAGAATTGAGCTGGAATTAATAAAGTACCGCTGTCTTATCCATGTCAGGTAGCAGATGTCAAATAGGTACCGTGCTTGTTGCTGGATTAGTTCAGATTTGGATTCGAGGCCGAACATAGTGCCTGCTGACAGAGATTTCCCAAGGGATACGGCACACTTGCATTTGTGGCTGTTGATTTTGTTTCACGATCCCAAACGAAGTCTGACAGCTAGGATGCCCTGCTTTGCTTCCCCATCTACTGCCTGGGGGTTGGGGGGAGCAAATGACAAGCTGCTTTTGCAAACTCACAGCCTTGCACTCTTCATGAATTAGTCCAGAGTAGCTTTCTTTCAGCAACTTAAAAAGCAGAGACATCACCTTGCCAACAAAGGTCCGTATAGTTAAAGCTATGGTTTTCCCAGTAGTGATGTATGGAAGTGAGAGCTGGACCATAAAAAAGGTTGATCGCCAAAGAATTTATGCTTTTGAATTATGGTGTTGGAGGAGACTCTTGAGAGTCCCATGGACTGCTAGAAGATCAAACCTCTCCATTCTTAAGGAAATCAGCCCTGAATGCTCACTGGAAGGACAGATCGTGAAGCTGAGACTCCAATACTTTGGCCACCTCATGAGAAGAGAAGACTCCCTGGAAAAGACCTTGATGCTGGGAAAGATGGAGGGCACAAGAAGAAGGGGACGACAGAGGACGAGATGGTTGGACAGTGTTCTCGAAGCTACCAGCACTGTGGGAGGCAGTGGAAGACAGAAGTGCCTGGCGTGCTCTGGTCCATGGGGTCACGAAGAGTTGGACACGACTAAACAACAACAACAAGCTTTCTTTGCTGACAAGTTTCCCAGCACAGCTTAGAACTCCCTCTTTACCCACAAGTATGCATGTAAAGAATGGCAGGGCCCTGTGCTTCTGTTGTTGCTTTTACCACATGACATGTAAAGTATGAGGCCAAATGTGCACACACATTCTGTGGTTTAGTAATTGCTGGAAAGAATAGTTTGGGTGATTTTTATTTTAGTATTATAAATCAGTTGCTGGTGATGATGCGGCAGTTGGTGAAATCCACAGAGGAATTAATTTTATACCCATTAGGGGTCTACCACAAAGGTGGGTCCAGCCAGCCTCACACAGTTGGGTTTTTGAAGCAACTTCAGAGCGCCTGGTGGTGAGCTTGGCTGACATGGAAACACACACAAACTCCTCACAACACCCCTGTGAGGTAGATAAGGGTTGGGGAGTGTTACTAGCCCAAAGGCACCCAGTGAATTTCATGGCTGAAAAGGGATTTGCACCTGGGACACCCCAGTCCTAGCTGGTGACTCTAATCCAGGCATAGGCAAACTGGGCCCTCCAGATGTTTTGAGACTACAATTCCCATCATCCCTGACCACTGGTTCTGTTAGCTAGGGATTATGGGAGTTGTAGTCCCAAAACATCTGGAGGGCTGAGTTTGCCTATGCCTGCTCTAATCGCTATGTCATGTTAATATTACCTAAGCAGGGATATTATTGGACTTCCATCAGCTCCAGCCAGGGATGACTGGACTTGTAGTCTAGCAACAACTGTATAGGCCCCTGGCTTAAAGTATATTAATATTCTATTGCGACGAGTCTGTATTAATTGGCCCGTTTTAAAACTTAAGAGGTTTTTGCTCTGTGCCTCAAATATATCTGCATAAAAGAATACAACCCTACGTTATGCCTACGTTTGTCCAAAGAACTAAGACACGAAGCTGGAAATCTGCTGCTACTGTTGTTATCCCATCTAATCTCAGTCACACCCAGGCTTGTGGCCTAGTTTAGGGCAGGTCGCCATGGCAATCACTAGAGCAGGAAGGATGTAGAGGAATGTGTGGCGTAAAATGTGTGTATGAGCCCCTGCTTAGAGCTGTGGGAACAACCAGGGCTGATAACCTGGTACTGTTTTATTGCTCTTGGACTTCACTGCCAAATTCTCCCGCTAGATGCAATAGCTCTGGAGAGAGTTTACTTGCATCTACCTCAGAGAGTCAAGTGGTCATATATAGACAAGGACAAGGCTGACTCCTCATGAGAGCACTGCAAGTCGCAGGCTTTGATCACAGCCCTGGAAGATTCCCAATCCCTGGCTCCCCTGAGACTTGTAGCTTCTCCATCTCTGTGTTGAGCAGAGTTCGTCCAGATGCTATAACTTATCATGTCCACAGGAAACCTAAGACTACATGCACAATGAGTGCAACTGAATGTCACACGAATACAATCAATCCATCAGCATAAGCATTTCTGCTCGCCACACAGAATGGTCTTCCCTCGACCCTCCAGACCAGTTCAGAGCTAAACCACGTGGGAAACTGCTGTCAAATATAAATAACAAGCTTAAAGCTAGTTAATGCATGGAGGGGTGAAGATCACAGAGTTGTATTCCTAGACCTGGTTAGGTCACGTTCCCTCACCTCCATTTAGGGGGAAGTGTTATTAGATCTCCCTTCCTCCCACATTATGTTCCCAAGCCACCAAGGATGCCTCAGTACCAGTTATTTGTTGTTGTTTTTAAAAAATAAAATACTAGCCACATGAGGGTGAAAAATGTAGCATTACGTTTAGTTTGGCCCTTAGTGTGCTGGTTCGTTTGCGATTACCTCTTTGGAAGAGCCTAAAATGGGTTAAAATATGTTGAGGATTAATTAAAGCATTTGTTTGTTTACTCATCATCTCTTCCTATTACCTCAAAATATATAAAGGACAATCTATTTTATGTATTTCTTACTGGCCCTTCACCATAAGGTCCAAGAATGGGTTATGTAACAACATTACTGTATATACCTGTATAAAAACAGATAAACAGTGACATTTTTAAAAACAAGTTAAACCATTACAAAATGATATAAATTCAGCCAAAGAGGTGGACCTCACAAAACAAAATAACCTTAGCTGCCAAAGGCCAGGGTTGAGAATCTCCCAAGAGTGATTAACATGACTGATTAGGTAACAGCAGAGTAGAAAAATATCAACAGACAGCTTCATTCTAGATTCAGAAGCCTACTGATTCTCAGGGATTGGGAATCTGCTGCCCTCCAGTACAGCCAATGATCTAGGACAGGGTTTCCCAAACATGGGCCTCCAGCTGTTGGACTACAACTCCCATCATCCAGTGGTCAGGGATGATGGGAACTGTAGTCCAAAAAAAACAACACACAACTGGAAACCCTGGTGTAGGATAATAGGAGATGTAGTCCAGGAACACACTAGGTTTCCCACTAGAGCCTGGCCTATGTGATTAGGACAGATGGATCTTCCTTGTTGACCTGAAAACAAAAAGCAGAATTCAGCACTTACTTGTGCTCAGCCCGGCCTTGCCCATTTTCCCTTACCCTGCAGGTCTTCGTCGAGACTCTACTATGTTGTGTTGCTATGCGCTGCTCTTCAGTATCCTCTGGATTGTGGTGTGGTTCTTGCGCGACCGGCAGACATTGAGCTCCTACAAGGACAAGTATGTCTTCATCACAGGCTGCGACACGGGTTTCGGGAACATGCTGGCCAAGCGCCTGGACAAGAAGGGCTTTCAGGTGCTGGCAGGTTGCCTAACCCAGAAGGGGGCTGATAACCTGCAGCGGTCCAGCTCGCCAAACCTGCGCACCATCCTGCTGGACGTCACCAACTCCGAGAGCATCTCTAAAGCCGTGCAGTGGGTGAAAGGTGAAGTGGGAGAGAAAAGGTGAGTCTCTCGCCCCGGTAGAGATCCGGGGGGTGGGGGGCAGTGGGGTGAGTCAGGTCTGAGTGTGTGTTGTGCTTCTAAAGAAAACAGGAGGAGAAAAGTCAAAGTTCTGGACGCTGAAGTCAACTTTCTAAAACTGCAGCTTTCAACTAATGCAGTTCTAGCTGGGACAAGAAAAGCTCTTGAAAAGAGCAGGGATTTGACTGCATTACTCAAAAATCACAGGGCAGCTTACCTGGCTGTACACCAATGTGCTTAAGGATTAAGACAGCAGCACAACTGCTAGTATAATTGCTGCTTTGCTGCTGTTGCTGAACTTAAGCCGCTGCCTTATGCCTGACTATTGATCCAGATAGCCCAATACTGTCAACAATGGCTGGCAGTGGCTTTTCATTGTTTCAGACAGGAGTATTTCCCCAGTCTCCTAGAGACTGAAACTAGGTCGTTCTGCATGCACGACATGTGCTCATTAATGCTCGAGTTGCAGCTTATTATTACTAGCTTTAATTTGCAGTGTGGTGTACTCATTATATTGCGATCCCAACATAAGTCACAATTATACCCATTTTGCAGGTAGGGAAGTGAGATAGAATCATGTATCATACCTGGAAGTCAAACGGAATCCATACCAAAAATCTGTTCGACTTCCAAAACATTCGAAAACCAAAGCGCGGCTTCTGAGCCGCGAAAGCCTCATCGGACATTCGGCTTCCAAAAATTGTTCGGAAACCAGAAGAGTCACTTCCAGGTTTCGATCGTTCGGGAGCTGATTTGTTCGGGAGCCAAGGCATTCGAGATCCAAGGTATGACTGTACTCTTAAACCTAGATCTCTAAGCTTCGGCTACAAGATGTTGGTAACAACTCAGCATTTTATCCCCCATAATAAACCTTTGCATACAAAACATCTGAGGCTTAATCTTTGGTATCACCCATTAAAAAGGGGTGGTAAGGCTGAATTTCCCCCTGAAATTTTTGGGAGAGACGCTGGCAAGCACAGTACACCGTACTAGGTCATTTGAGACAACAGTCTGACTCATTATAAGACAACTTCGCGTAGCATCTTTTTTTCCCCACAGCGAAAAACACAGGATGCTATAAAGCCAAGGTGTGATCTGTCTCTTTTCCTCCTCCCCAATAATTCTCCCTCTCCAGGGCTCTTTGGCTTGGTGAACAATGCAGGTGTGGCCAACCCCATTGGCCCCACAGAATGGATGGGCGTGGAGGATTACCGCAAGGTCATGTCTGTCAACACCTTTGGGGTCATCGAGGTATCTCTGGCCTTCCTACCTTTGCTCAAACGGGCACGTGGCCGAGTGGTCAACACCTCCAGCGTCTTGGGTCGCCTCTCAGCCAATGGCGGTGGCTACTGTGTTTCCAAATACACTGTTGAGGCCTTCTCCGACAGCCTCAGGTAGGAGAACAGGTAGGGCTTTGCTTGTGCTCACCCCATAGCCACTGTCAGGTTTCCCACATCCAGTTTCCCACATCCGATTCTCATGGTCCTTTGCTGCCTTATATTCTCTTCCATCCCTTTTCCTCCTGTTTATCTCATTTTCTCACATTCTCTCTCTCTCTCTCTTTTATATTTATATCTCACTTTTCCTCCAGGGAGCTCAAGCTCATGTACAGTGGTACCTCGGGTTAAGTACTTAATTCGTTTTGGAGGTCCGTACTTAACCTGAAGCACCACTTTAGCTAAGGGGGCCTCCTGCTGCTGCCGCGCCACCGGAGCATGCTTTCTGTTCTCATCCTGAAGCAAATTTCTTAACCCGAGGTACTATTTCTGGGTTAGTGGAGTCTGTAACCTGAAGTGTATGTAACCTGAAGAGTATGTAACCCGAGGTACCACTGTAAATGATTCTCCCGTGTTCCCATTTTATCCTTGCCACAACACTGCGAGGTTGGTTAGGCTGAGAGACCAAGGTTACCCAGTGACCTTCAGGGCTGAGGGAGGGGAATTTGAACCCTGGATTCCCAGGTCCCCTTGCCTGACACCCTAACAACTGTGTGACACTGATTCTACATTGCCCTCCATGGTAAGCCTACTTTATTCCAGTAGACATCCTCTCGCAGGGCCGGCCCACTCATGAGGCAACGTGAGGCAGTCGCTTCAGGTGGCAGAGCCGGGTCCAGGGAGCATGCGGCTAATCTGTACTGCTGCTTGCCACCTTCTCCATGCCCTTGCCTCCCGCCACCACAGCACAGTGGCGGGGGGTGGGGGTTTTGGGGGTGCAGCAGCACAGGTATGGCAGGGGAGGAAACAGCAGAGAGTGGGCCTGGATCTGAGCAGAAGGAGTGGCCATAGGGATTGTTGCCTCAAGCAACAACATGTCCTGGGCTAGCCCAGCCCCCTCTTCTTTAATATGGGGTGGACTTTGGTCTTTCAGATTTCAGCAGTGCCCTGTGCCTGGCCAAAAAATTGGCACCCGCACCACTTGCCTTCTGTTCTGCTCAATTCTGTGGCACCCCATACACCTGGAAATTCGCAGACATAGCCGGAATACTGCAGTTGACTTGCCGATCATAAGGTTGGAGGTTCGATCCCCTTGACGGGGCGAGCTCCCGTTGCTCTGTTCCAGCTCCTGCCAACCTAGCAGATCGAAAGCACACCAGTGCAAGTAGGTTAATAGGTACCAATGCGGCGGAAAGGTAAACGGTGTTTCCATGCGCTCTGGCTTCTGTCACAATGTTCTGTTGCGCCAGAAGCGGTTTAGTCATGCTGGCCATATGACCTGGAGAGCTGTCTGTGGACAAACGCCTGGCTCCCTTGGACTGAAAGCGAGATGAGTGCCGCAACCCCATAGTTCGCCTTTGACTGGACTTAGCCGTCCAGGGGTCCTTTACCTTTACCTTTTTACTGCAGTTGGAAGCAGTGTTCAGGTGGAAATAGGCAAAGAAATAAAAAAGTCCAGGAAAATCCGGATGTGTGGCAACCCATGTCGGCAGTGTCAAAACAAAAACCTTTTTTAAAAAATGAAAAAACACCTCAACAACTTTTGACAATTCCTTCAGCCTCAAGCTCCTTTTATAGCTGAATTTTGCCAGCAGCCAGACTGAGAGGGGAGAAACACCTTAGATCAACTGCTCCTCCTGCTGGTGGGAAAGGAGTAGTATTTGCCTTTGGAAGGATAATGCCCAGTTCTGATGTGTTTGTAGCTCATTCCGAGCCATGGATTTAGCATCACATCTGAACACAGTCAGTGTCCCACATCTAGAAAGGATGGGTTGTAGCCAACTAAGTGTTACTCAGAGTAGACCCCTTGAAATTAATGGGCTTAAATTAGTGGTTTTCAACAGGTCTACTATGAGAGTGACTAATGTTGGGTGCAACCCCATGGATTTCACACTTCTGCAATTGGGAAATGCATCAGTCCATTTGGTGCCTGTCCTCAGCATAAATTCCAGACCTCCACACTTCGAAACTAGATGCTGAGACAAAGCCCAATCTCAAGCTATGCCTTTTCAGATCTCGTTCTACGCACTCTGCAGCTTCAACCTAGGGGAAGCCAATTCAGTCTCTTCCCATCCTGCAGTTCAGCGAGTCTCAGCATGGCACTCCCATCCAAACAGGTGGAAGCGATCTTCTGTTCTGGTTGCCAATTAATTAGTGTATCAATTCTCTGCATCACCACCCTGGGCTAAACCAGAACCTAACAGGAGAGCACGAGTGAAATCACATAACAGGTGGCAGTATACAGTATACATTAAATCAGATTTTTTTAAAAGCGGATCTTTAGATATGGAAGGGTGCAAGAGACTTCTTCATCGCCTTTTCCATCTTGTGTTCCCATGCCACAGCTGCTACAATTGCCAGGAAGGAGAAGGTTCGCTGATAATGGCTTTTACCCAGGTTTTCATCCAGGTTCTAGCAGTGCAATCACGCTAGGGCTCCGAATTATTTTAAGCTGCGACGTAAAGTAATATAGGAAAAAGGAATTGTTTTGATGACAAAGGTCAAGTGTGGCATCACAGAGGGGCAGATTTCCCACAACAGGAAGCTGCTTGGGTGCTGAGCTTCCCTCTTTGTGCTGGCCGAACATTGGAGTTGCCAAGTTTCATTTTTGCTGGCAGCAATCCTGTACTTTTAGCCACTGCACAATAATAGGTTCAGCAGTTGCATTTCCCCCATAATGGAAATAAAGAGCTCTAAGCTTATTTTATGCAAAAAGTAAAGGTAGAAGCCCAGCCAGTAAAAAAAGGTGGAAGACATATGTACACAGACACATGTTCACGATCACTTGATATAGGCTGTGTTTACCTTTACAGTTGCAATCAAATTTATTCAACCCCTCTCCATTGCAAATCAGGTTTATTGTCAGAATTGACAGACTTTCAGGTATTTGCAATGAGCAAATCAAACAAAAAGCAATGGAAATAGCTCTACACAAAGGATGCTTCAAGCGGTTTCCCAAATTCAGCTGAAACTGCAACATACTGGCGTCTCCAGTCTCGCTATTATTCAACCCCTTCATGGCAACTCATGGAGTGTGTTCCTAATCCTTGCAATGGTGAGTATGGAATATGAAACTCCTCTTTTTTTCTCTTTTTTAGGAGGGATATGTACCATTTTGGGGTAAAGGTCTCTATTGTGGAGCCGGGCTTCTTCAAGACGGCTGTGACCAACCTTGAATCAATAGAAGCCTCCTTAAGACTAACTCTGGGACCGACTGAGCCCCGAGACTCGGCAGAGCTATGGTGAAGACTTCTTTCCAAACTGTGAGTACCAGTGCAGCCACTGACTGCTGGAGGGAAAGCAAGGTTAGATCTTGTTTCTGAAATACAGGGCCGTTAGCTGTAGAAAAGAACAGAACAGGCACAGAGCAGCAAGAACTTAATTCAAGCCCTAGCACAAGAATGACTAACCTAAGTTTCCAGACCCAAAATGATCAAGGGTCTGGAAACTAAGCCTTATGAGGAACGCTTGAAGGAGCTGGGTATGCTTAGCCTGGAAAAGAGGAGACAGAGGGGAGATATAATAGCCTTAAGAGCTGTCACATGGAAGAGGGAGAATGCTTGGAGGTTTTTAAGCAGACGCTGGATGGCCATCTGTCATGGATGCTTTAGCTGAGATTCTTGCATTGCAGAGGGTTGTACTAGATGACCTTGGGTCCCTTCCAATTCTAAGATTCTATGATTCTAACCTGTGGACCTCCTGATGCTGCTGAACTACACCTCCCATAGACCCAGACTATCAGCCATGCCGGCCAGGACTAATGGAGGATGGAGTCCAACAACACATGGAAGGCCAATTTTCCTATCCATATTATTTCTCCCCTACACCTCATTAAAAGTAAAGGTAAAGGGACGCCTGACCATTAGGTCCAGTCGTGGCCGACTCTGGGGTTGCAGCGCTCATCTCGCTTTACTGGCCGAGGGAGCCGGCGTACAGCTTCTGGGTCATGTGGCCGGCATGACTAAGCTGCTTCTGGTGAACCAGAGCAGCGCACGGAAACGCTGTTTACCTTCCCGCCACAGCAGTGCCTATTTATCCACCTGCGCTTCGTGCTTTCCAACTGCTAGGTTGGAAGGAGCATGGACCAAGCAACGGGAGCTCACCCCGTCAAGGGGATTCGAACCGCCAACCTTCTGATCGGCAAGTCCTAGGCTCTGCGGTTTAACCCACAGCGCCACCCGTGTCCCTATACACCCAATTACTTGCAGCAAATTCCAACCCTGTTTCAGCTTCTTCTTTTTAACCATCACTTTTATCTTTCATCTGTCAGCTCCTAAGCAGCACAATCCTGCAATGGTTTCTCTATGCTTCAAGTATGTGCTTTAGTTCCTTGGTAGAGGCTCCCAACACGAGCTAGCGCTGGATCCCTAAACCCACACTACAACTTGCTAGGACTGCTGGCGCTTGCAGAGTTCCCTTCCTCCATCCTTCCTTTGGTGGTAATGTCTTGGCATGCACAACTTCTCATATTGAGGTGGGAGGGAGGGAAGACACATACTCTGTAAGCTCAAGCTAATCTTTCACCTTCTAAGACTGGAGCTGGGCAGCTCGGCTCAGGCATGAAGACACCTGCCAGTTTCATAATGGGGCTTATAAAAGGATCAAATCCTTGGTGTACACTTATTTAGAGGCATGGGATTAGGGGAAAATCAACTGCTACAGGAGAGAGGTGACTGCATTTTTTATTTATTTCCTTATTGCATTCATATAACACCTACGCGCCCCCCCGCAACTAAGGAGCTGAAGGTTCTTCCATCTCCATGTTATCCTCACAACAACCCCATGAAGTAGGTTAGGCCAAGAGACAGTGACTGGTCACCCAGTGAGCTTCCTGGCAGAGTGTGGTTTCGAACTCTGGTCTCCCAGGTCACAGCCCAACACTTTTAACCGTTACACCACACTGTGCCTCTGTTCACAATTTTAAGTTCAGATAAGAAGAGGTCATGTCCCCTGGGCAAAACCAACACGTGGTGCAATCCGAGATACGTGTTTCGTAATGCATGCAGAGCCTGTTACTAGTTCCTCTGAGTTTAACCATGTTCCAAAAGCCATCAAAGTACTCTGGAGCCATAGGGTTACATACACTCCAAAAAAAGGATTGTGCAGATGTGACTTCCAACATAAATGCAAATAAAAAATAATGCCAAGCATGTGCATAAAAGTTCTGATTTTGATCTGAAGTACTAGGTCCAAGACCAGGGGAACCAGGGGTGAGGAGGAGGAAGAGGGTAGATAGTAATTAGGATGGATGCACTGCGCAGGCAAAGGTAGGCAGGCAGGCAGTTCGTAAAATGGTCCCTCTTTTTGTTTTTGATGACTGCAATTATACTTGCCTCTCAACAGACCTGAAAGTCCAGAAGTTCATCATGAACATCATCTGCGACCCAGACCTCAGCAAAGTGACCAACTGCATGGAGCATGCCCTTCAGGCCAAATACCCCCGCACCCGCTATAGCGCTGGCTGGGATGCCAAGTTTGTGTGGCTGCCAGTCTCTTATCTACCTGCCTTCATGGTGGACATTGTTTTGGCTACCATCCTACCCAAGCCAGCCCATCGGGCCCACTAGACTCCCCGAACCTCACACCTCGCCTCTCTCCAGGACCAAGCCTGTGGACCAGCTGTCAATCAGACAGACCACATTCCTTCGCAAGAACTATGGAGAAATAAAAGTGTCATTGTCAGTAGGAAAAAAGCTGTTTGCCCAGCCTGCTTGCTCCTCTTCCGCAGATCAAAGGGTGTTATGGAAACTTTCAACAGTACTCCAAAAAAGCATGATTATTGTAGATCACGGTGTTTCTAAGCCAGGCACCAACCATATAGAAGGGAACAATAATCCAGACTGGGAGCACGATTAGGGAAAACCACACTTGCAGCTTTCATTGTGAGCTGGTCAACCAGTGCAGAACTAGAAGCAGAGGATATTGCAGCAGCTGAACTGTCTAGGGAAGTGGTTTTTTAAAGGTTTCTAAAGCAACATTTTGTAAGAGATGCTCCTGACAGTTTGGCATTGAATCCTCGAAGGTTGAGGATCAAGAACATGCTATACAGGGCAGTTGCTAAGGATGGTGGGCTTTTACATCAGTCCACAAAATTCATGGCACTTTCATGAGTTAACACTTTACAGGGCAATAGTTGAAGAGTACGGAAGCTGATTCAGGGAAGCTCAAACTCTTCTTTATCTTCCAACCCCCCCACCAAAAAAAAAAACTTCCAAAGGACCTCAGGAATTAACCAGACTATATAGCTTGAAAGTTAGCTGTTTCAGCCACGTGAGACACCAGGTGGCAACCTGGGGCGGCCCAGGGCTGTTTAAATGCATGCGGGTAGTTGAAATCGCCCACAAGAAATGCAGCCTTTGATATAGAAAAGGCTCCCCACCTCATCTTAAGATGGCCAGGATCTACTTGGAAAGGGGATAGATAAATTTAGTTAGCTAACATGCATAAAAAGACGACTGTACCCCAGTTGAATATGCGCAACTGAGAGGGACTGGTTCTGTGCAGAGGCAGAGCGTATCACCACTGGGTTAAATGCAAGCTTGCTATTGACATATGCAGAATTGGGGAGTCGGAATTTTTCAGCCAAGCTGAAACCCTTCATCTCTACTGCAGCAGTAGAGCATGGCTCTTTCCCCCAAAGGTGCGAAGACATACCAGCTGTAAGGAGCTGAGCATGCAGGACCAGTGAAGCACAGAATGAGGGGAAAGCAGCAAGACCTGTACTGTTCTGCTTTCTTTTGTCTTATTTGGGGCCTCAATCAATGGCACAGTTAGCCCCAAAGCGTAGGTTTTTAGATGGACATCACTACTGAAGCATGCGTGCACTCATTCGTAATTTTGGAGAGGCAGGATACCCAAAGACATAAAAAGCATGAATAATCCTACCATAAACACATAACTGTGCTTTGCGTAAGAAGGCATGGTTATTCATCACATGAGAATACCGAAATAGCTGGTGGCTAGGGGATTATTATTATTATTTGCAAAGAAGAAGAGCTCATGTGTTCTCCAGAATAGCCATAGTTCCTGTTCCTGTGACCTCAACCCAGGGAGATTTCAGCTACACAGAAATTCCTCCTAGCAGGCTGCAAATTGCTTATTCATCACAGCAAACAGAACTCAGCCCATTAAATGTTAGTATGGCAATGTATTGACACAGCTGAGATAATACAAGGGTAAGGAAACTGAAGCTGCAGTGCGAATTAGAAAAATCCCTGCCACACCCTCCAAAAGGTTCTGGACAGAACATGGGAGCAAAAGTGATCCATTGCCAAGAACTAAAGGCCAGTTAAAAACCAGAAGGTAAGGAGATGATAGAAGTCTAAGGTTATAGAGTGATTTGGCTTCCAGAGAAATCAAAGAGGCATCAGGAAGATTTCAATAAGTAATTACAAATGCAAGGAAATTTCTTTTTGAAGCTTGCCATCTATCCACAATGCAGACAAATGCAAAATCAGGATGGAGATAGCACATAAATAAGCCAGAACACATGGGAGAAACAATGTCTTTATTTCCAAATAATGAATTACTGGCTAAAAAAACAAAATCCCCACAATTTTCCATCCCGTTGTGGTTTCCAAAACAACTATGCTCACTTGATTAAACAAGACAGTCTTTCCAAGGGGGAAAAAAGGAGCATCCTAAAGTATATAGGCAGTCTACTTATTGGGTGAGGTGTCGGGGGGGAAATGCTGCAGGTCCAGAAGTCTTGAAGATTGAATCTGGGAGAAGCAAAAGTTCAAAGGTCCTTGCTCAGGCCTATGAAAGGGACTAAAAAAATTGGCTGGAATACAATAGCAGTCATGTATCGCAAGATGCTCACTAGATCGTGAAGTATAGCATGAAAGCTAATGCAAATTTTGAAGTAGGAATGGAGTGTTGAATGAGGCACAGAAGATAGGAACTTTGAGGGAAACATCCCATTAGGGGATTGGGGTGGGGGGAGATAAGGCAACGTGTGAATCCTTGGGAGGGCGGCATATGTGTTCAAGAAAGGGAACAGAAGAGGAGACATTCACCCAACGCCTGTTCTACAGGCATATATAATGGTCAGTTGCACCCCCAGAAAAAGGAGACAGAAATATCCCAGGGGTTCTGTGATTGCTGCTGCAGTAACCAGATGTGATAAGATGAGACGCGGCTACATAACCTCATAGCCACTGCGGATTCCTTTCATGAGACAACAAGCAAAAATGATGCCCAGGAGCTGAGGAAAGAAGTTACAAGAAAATTGTATCAGCTGCAAGGTGTAATTTGCAAGTAAGTGAATGTTTCACTACACAGTGGCCCTACAAGGAATAGAGGCCGTGCAACCACTTCACCCATCCTTTACTAGGGTGTGCGCATGTGCAAGAAATTTTTCCTGCTCAGCTCTTTGAAATGCATCACCAAATTTGCTTAACTTTTACATGCAGAGCTGTTATTTGCTTACTTTCTGCATGCAAAGCAGATACTCCCCTACTGAGCTACAGTCCTTTAGGTCTCCACTTCAGGTGATTGTTTAGGCAGTCATAACTTTGGGGGCAAGGGGAACTGGCAGCAAGGCAATCCTTCTAAAGTCCAAACAGCTCAAGCCTGAAATGGCCTCCTTCGGTATGCACATGCCACAGGAACCAGTTATATAGCTCACAAGCTACTTTTGTTTACTCAGGTAGCCCATTTCCCCGTAACAATCCCCATGCCCCGAGCTCTGCACTAGACTGCCAAATGAAGGGCACAATCCACCACGGTTGTAATGACAGCAAGCAGTACCGGTATCTCTCCAGTGCTTGCAATTTGCTTTAGTGAATCAAACGTGGGCCAACACATTTCTACCGCCCACAGTATAGACTTGATAAGGTGGGGAAATATTCTGAGCTGGAGCAAAGTGGCATGGAAGAGCTCTGCAGAACACCAATAGCGTTACTTCGCAGCTTAACACTACACACTATTCTGCTAGTCAGCAGTACAGGTGGGACACAGGATACAACACAACACTCTGTGTACATCAGATGCACATTGGATTACTGAATCACAAGTTCTACATGGACCTATGGTGCCAAGTTCAAGTATCTTCTCCTTTTGTTCGGATGACAGGGGGAGCCGTTTCTAAACATTTTAAGATTGTGAACAAAACTCTGGCGAAATTGGTGGGCAACGCTTGGGTGAAGTCCCAAAAGCAGGCTTGCCCAGAAGCCAAAAATTGGGTTTCAGATTCCATTGCTGCTAACTAAAGATACTAAAATCCAGGATGATGGAAATATTTAACCCAGATCACTTATCCGGGTTGAAAGATTCAGATGTTAATGTCAAAACTTCTTTTTAAAAAAGAAAAGCACTGAATACAGACAGAACTGTAGTTTGCCCCAGCGTAACAACTTCATGGTGCAGATGTGCGTGCATGCTCACCCAGCCACCCACCCACAGTTCCCCATAATCTATTATAATTCTTGGTACCTCAAAGAAGGCAATGCCCAATGCCACTCCAGCCACAATGATGATGTGTTTTCTCAACCAGGCTTCTATTTTTGTTACACAGCCCTGCAGGGAGAGAGGGAACAAGGTTTTATAGCATCCGCCAGAACCCTCATGCTAGGAACAAAGCTTTACTTTCCTAGCACTCATCCATCCATACCTCCTGGTTGATTTTTTCTACGGTTGGATTCTGCTGGCAATCGGTGTCATTGTGTTTGCAGCAGGATGAAGGTATATTTGAGGGCGTAGTTCCGTTAAACCAATCCGTGTAATTGGAGGCTCCACAACAGCTATACTACAATTGGAGAGAGATGAGGGTGGGGGAGAGAGATCAGTATCTTCCAGGCCAACAGGGATTGTTAACTCCCAGAACAGAGAACATTTCCTTAACATACCCAAGTATTCTGCATGGTAATCCATCCATCACTCCCATTTTGCAAATAGGGAACAGAGGGCAACTGTTGTGATCTGCACAAAACTACCCGTTGAATCACTGAATCCAGGTTCAAGTCCAACAGCCTTTAATAACATAGTAAGAGCCTTCCTGGGACGCGGGTGGTGCTGTGGGTTAAACCACAGAGCCTAGGACTTGCCGATCAGAAGGTCGGCGGTTCGAATCCCCGCGACGGGGTGAGCTCCCGTTGCTCGGTCCCTGCTCCTGCCAACCTAGCACTTCAAAAGCACATCAAAGTGCAAGTAGATAAATAGGTACTGCTCCAGCGGAAAGGTAAACGGTGTTTCTGTGCACTGCTCTGGCTCGCCAGAAGCGGCTTAGTCATGCTGGCCACATGACCCGGAAGCTGTACGCCGGCTCCCTCGGCCAGTAAAGCGAGATGAGCGCCACAACCCCAGAGTCTGTCACGACTGGACCTAATGGTCAGGGGTCCCTTTACCTTTTTAAGAGCCTTCCTGGATCAAGCTAAAGACCCATTATAGTTCAACAGCCTACTACTTTCACTGCGGCCAATCAGATACCCATAGGAAGCAGGCAAGCACTCTCTTCCCACTTGCGATTCCCAAAAACTGATATTCAGAGGCATGCAGAATATGCATTTTTTGTCCACCCTGAATATTCCAATGATCAGCTCCATTTGATGTCTTGAGTTTTAATGTTATGAGACAGAAAAGCTTCTCCATTCTCTTTCTCCACACCAGGCATCAACGTACACATGTCCCCTCCTCAGTTGCCTTTTCTCAAAACTGAAAACCACCACGTCATAACCATTCACCGTAGGCGAAT